CGAACGTTTCGAGCCCTTTTTTTGGGTCATCTTCAGCGTTGAACTACTTGTTACTTTTTAAAATATTCGTATTAAATGTATATGTATATAAAGTCATTTCTGTTAAAAAGTGTCCGTGGTTTTTACATTTGTAAAGCAGCGCTTGGCGGTTGTCTAGATCATCTTTGACTGTTGTCATGTCGTGACGCACCAGTAACGAGTCTTGTTGGTTGTGAGCTCTATTAATTATGAATTACTTGTGTGATTAAATTCTGTTCCGAATTATTGTATTTGTGTAACTAGTTACCTGTGGTCAGTGGTAGTAATGGACTTTTTGATCCAGTAACGGTACGCAGTGTGTTTTCTCGGACTGGTGTTAATGTCTTAACGATCGAAACCACAATGACAAATCGTCATTGCCAAGCTGAAACTCTAACTTGGTTCCGTTATTGCCCGTCATTGTGTGAATAGTGTTATTTCCTTGCCTATTATCTCGTCTTCAACGTCCTTCTTGTTATGTTCTGCGGCTCGCCTGATGTTTACTTCCTCTATGTGAGCGCGTAGGACTCTACGTAATTCGTCGATGTTAGCATTGGCCTCAAATTTAATTTCTAATTTTTGCAGTATTTGAGTTAATTGCGCTTTTTTCAATTCTTGGATCCACGACGTTTTCGTCTAGTCAATTATGTCTTTACTTGATCCCGATATTCAAACGAAATCTTTTCATTAATTACCGTTTGCTCTACTCGTTTTCTTAATTTTCCGTCTACTCCCTACTTCCGTCTACTCTGTCGCTGACTCCGCTGATAATTAATCGTCGAGTCTTCTTACCGAACCTGTCCTTGTATTACTCCCGCGAATTCCGAGAATTCCTCTTCCCGCGTGCCTCGTATACTGTGGTTCACGAATGCTACGTTAGAAACGTTAATTTTCCACAAAATATGCACTTGGGTTCGACAAACACTGTCCTCGTCGCCAATTGTTACGTGCTGTGTCGCACAGTAACGTACTCTCCCGTTGGGAGCCCGGATATATTACAGGAGTATTTATTCCTTTTAATAACAAAGATAATGTCATATGTCCGTCTAACTTTCTTATGTCATGCGTATTGTTTACAATGTAATATGGCGGTTCAACTGAAATTATATAAATTTTATTAAATGGAAATTAAATAAAATATCAAAAATATGAAAGTAATTATATATATGTAATATACAATATATATATGTGTGTGTATGTGTGTGTGCGCGTGTGCGTGCGTGCATGCGTGCGTGCGTATGTGTCATATATATATATATATATATATATATGAAATATATGCCTGCATATATTCTAATATATCTATTTTATATATTAGATTATGTATTAAAAATATATTTTGCATATATTATGTAAATATATAGAATTTTCTTATATTTCTTCTATATAATAGGCGGCAAATAATGATTTAATTAGTTATATCCATTCTTATATTTTATACATACATTTATATATATTAACGTATAAGTATTGATATATTATAAAATATATTTTGGGATATATACTTTTTCATGGGGGTAGACTAAATGTCGACTTAAAAAGTTGACTTCAAGGTGACTAAAAAATGTCGACTATCAGCCGGCAAACAGTCATTTGTGCTATGTGGGAAGATGAGAGGTTCCCCACTATTCTCATCCGGGAAAAGACGGCTCGGAAGACAGCCGCGAGCGGAGAAGATAGATCGTGCAGCCGGTCGCCGCACACGCGCCTGAAGGTTCACTTTGCCTTCTCGAGGAAGAATCGCGAACCGATTTCACGAGGAACGCGACGCGCTCTGGTCCAAGGGGGAGCGGGAACGATGCGTCCTCCACCGGGATTCGTGCAGTGGACGTCGTCCCTAGTCCTATTGTTCGCGCTCACGGTCCGCGTGACTTCGACGAAGCAGCCGAATATTGTCTTTATTCTGGCGGACGATTTGGCAAGTTGTCTTTCAAGGTTTGCGATAAGTTACACCTGGTCCAAAAGACCGGACGCTTCGAAAATAATGGGTTGTTAGTATGAAGACACAACGTATGAAGACTCTGTCAGGCGAGACAACTTCTGTCTAATCCTCATTTATGTGCCGACTGGAAAGGCGTAAAGAAAGGCGAGAGATGTTAAACGCCTACAATAGGTAAAGACTAAATAGAGAAATCTTAGGGCCTGAGCAGAATGGCTGTCTCGTACTCTTAAGACGTAAGACAGTTATTGTGCGTTAAATATCTAGACAAATCGCAACAAGGGAAACTGTTAACTTAAGGACATAAATGATATCTCAAGTTAACGTTTAGATTTAGTCTCATTTTCATCAGGGATGGAATGACGTCGGCTTTCACGGTTCCGGTCAGATCCCAACGCCGAATATCGACGCACTGGCGTACTCCGGGCTGCTCCTCGATAGATATTATGTCACTTCGATTTGCACACCGTCCAGAAGCGCTCTGATGACCGGCAAATATCCTATTCACACTGGAATGCAGCACGGCGTAAGTGACGCTTTCGCAACATGTCTTGCGTCGTTATTTATCAAGAGTGTAAAACACGTAATATTGAAAACGGATAAGATAATCGAGCACAAATAAGAACAATAGGCAGTGAGCTCTACAATACGATCGAACTTACTCGCTTTGAACCTAAATTTATCCCTTTCTTTCAATCTTACGAAATAAATTTGCTTATTAAAATCACGATAGTTCGCTGGTATTGTCAGTTTCTTTTAACCGCGGCTGCACCTGTCAGTGAATAAACGCGATTGAGAGCTATCAGTTGGCGGAAACGTTAATTGTTGTTCTGTTTGCAACACGGAGCACAAAAGGAAATATTGTGTGCTTGCACTTTTGCCTCGTTGACCTGGATAGTTCAATTGGAAATTATCACATCGAGAGATTACTACTTTATTTGCATACACGTTTTCAACGCTATACGCGCGTATCCACATACAAAGCCGATAAAGGACCGCACGGACGGTCAGCTCAAAGCATCCCTTTCATTATCGTGCAAATTAACGACGCCGGCTGAATAATACTCCGTTACAACTTTCTAATTTGTACTTTAAGATAATTTCGGCAAAGATTAGAGCTTCTTTAACTCCATAAAAATGTGGTGAACATTTGAGAGACGATCATTTTAGATAACGCGTCCCCTGCCACCCACGAATATTAATGCGACTGACAAGATTCTAATTGAGTTGCCCGTGAAGCGGCACATTATTGTGAACACAGGAATTTCTAGTACAACGCGCGGACTTGTTGAATAATTCAGGTTCTCAAAGGTGCGGAGCCGAGAGGATTGCCACTCCACGAGAAACTCTTGCCGGAACATTTGCGCGAGCTTGGATACAGCACGCACATCGTCGGCAAATGGCACCTAGGATTTTACAAGAAGGAGTACACCCCGACTTACAGGGGATTCGACACCCACACCGGCTTCTGGACGGGTCATCACGATTATTTCGATCACACGGCCGTTGAAAACGTGAGCGATTACACGAGTAAACAGGGTCTTTGTTATTTGAATGCGATAACGCGATAAAAATGCAGCCTTATTGGGGCTTGGACATGAGACGGGGCATGGAATCGGCATGGGATCTGCACTGCCAATATTCCACGGACATTTTCACGAAGGAGGCGGTGAGATTGATCGACGAGCACAATTCCAGTCGACCGATGTTCCTATATCTGGCCCACGCAGCCGTGCACTCCGGTAATCCTTATAATCCGCTTCCGGCGCCGGATGAGGAGGTCGCTAAGTTCAATAATATCTTCGATTACAATCGAAGGCGTTTTGCAGGTAACCAACGAGTGACTCGAACGCAGATAGAAATGTAATATAAAATAGATCTTCGCTTAGAGAAAAAATATCATTATATTAAGTATAGATTCTTAAGGAATGGGACTGAAATATATTATATACTAATAGCCGAAGCGGACTGATAATCTTGGAATACTGCTAGGTATGCTGAGTAAGCTAGATCAATCGGTAGGCCAAGTAGTTGAAGCTCTGCGGAAGAAAGACATGCTGCGAGATAGTATAATCATCTTCTCGACAGACAACGGTGGGCCTGCTGCTGGATTTAATTTGAATGCAGCGTCTAATTGGCCACTGAGAGGGGTCAAAAATACTCTTTGGGAAGGTGACTGTATTCGACTATTGATCAACTAAATTAGACGGTTGTGCAAACTTTTTTTAATTACAATTAAGACGTCTCGATTAACGAGCATCTGCTCGGCAAGAAAATATCTTTCGAAGTTTTCTCAATCATATGCTTTTTGTATTCGTAATTGGTGCATCTGTATTTTTAAGAATCCGAATTAATTAAGACTTTATTGGACGAATTAACTATGTTATGGAGGTTTAATTTAAAAATCACGACTTTAGAAGCTGCCTTTAATTTGCGACGTCCGTTAACGAACAATCTTTTCAATTATATTATCGCAGGCGGCATCAGAGGTACAGGATTAATATGGTCACCCAAACTGGTGCGACCTGGCCGAGTAAGCAGGCAGATGTTACATATTACTGATTGGCTACCGACGCTGATAGCGGCCGCCGGCGGTGATCCGGCAAACTTAACTATCGACGGCATGAACATGTGGTATGCGCTCAGCGAAGATACCGAATCACCGCGCACGAGCATTCTCCACAACATTGATGATATTTATGGCGTATCTGCCATTACGGTCGGCGACTGGAAGCTCATCCAGGGTACGACCCGTTCTACGATACGTCATACGTCGGGGCGTAGCAAAGAAATTGAAGAGAAATTTTGCCATTGGACCATCGACTACGTTCCGACATCCGACAGCGACATACGACGTATTGTAGAACAGGCCTAAGAAAGTTTCTAGCCACCAAAAGTATATTCTGTTCCGCAACGAGCTATTGTAGGTTTGGAAACCGCGGGGAGTGTATCTCTTGTCTTTCCCCTTCTCATTCTTGATGTTTATTTAAGACAGAACACGATATACCTGTGGAAGAATATGAGAAATGTATGTATATGATAAATAGTCAATTCGGTTTTCCGTCTAGGATCTACTTATAAAGGAACGTGGGACGGATGGTACGGTCCATCCGGTAGGGAGTGGGTCTACGACGTGGACGGCGTGATCGACAGCACGGCGGCACATGCCATCGCCAGTGTGGGATTGGGTGTCACTACGGAAGCTGTTCGGATGCTGCGGGAAAACGCGATGATCAAGTGCCCGCCGCGGAATGATAGTCTACGCAGCTGCAAGCCGTTGGAAGAAGCGTGCCTCTTCAACATCTATCAGGATCCTTGTGAAGATAACAATCTTGCTAAACAGTGAGTGGAATACGACTTCGATGGAATTCCGTCGCGAAATTTTGTTCTATTTTAACTTGCGTTCGAACGCTCGTGATTACATTGCCCTGCCTTTTTGTTCGCGTCAAAAGGTTTCCAACGATCGTCAGGAAACTGCAGGACGAACTGAAGAAGTTCAACAACAGTGCAATTCCACCTGCAAATCTTCCGTGGGACCTTAGGGGCGTTCCGAGTCTGTGGGATCATACTTGGAACAACTTCGGAGATTACATTAATGTCATGACGAACGCTGCAACCTGTGTTATGTATGAATACTTTAGTATCTTTTTATTTCTTTTTTTTTACTTCTTTTTCCGTTGAACGAAACTGTGTGCTTTGTGGAACACACTCACCTCTCTAGCAGTCTTTTGTAACTCTCTCTCTGCAATAAAACGTAACCGTCAAGTTATACTAAAGAATCCCCGTGGTATTCTTTGGTCTACATCTTACCTTCCGAATCCTAATTACAAAATAATATCCACGTATATAAAAACCTGATCGAATACCGTAATCTCAAGGATATTGTCTTCGTTTCCCTGCAGAGTGATATATAATACGTATAAGGATTACGCCAGAAACTTTGCTGCTCATGTTAGTCCATATTTGTTATGTTACGAAGAAATCTATACAACTATAAAGATATTTAGTCTTTGTTTCTTTACCTTCATCTGTATGCGTCGTCATAAAAAAAAATGCATGTCATCGAAAAGTATAAAAATATCCAGCAACGTTAAATTAGAGACCTTAATTTATTTGTAATGCGATTTGACCCTATATATTTTATTGCTCAATTTTTAATATAATTTTAGAAAAAACATGCAAGTATATATATATATATATAAAGAATTTTATTACGGAATACAAATAAGTCGTAATAAAAAATAAAAATGGTGACACTTATTTCTCATTTTTTCAATGCATATTGAACAATGACAATACTTCTCAATGTCGGGATAAGATTTTCTGCCAGTATCATTGTACTATCTTCCTATATGCATTATTTCCCATAACATGCTTTATACCTAGTACCATTAGATTCTTCTATCTACGATAAATAATACATCTCCATCACCTTGGCGCATCTGAAATGCAAAAGTGCTTTATAGTATGCTAATGTCTACGCGTATTATTTCCCAGTGAGAAATGATTCGTTGAAACGATGTCATTTCTCGCTAGGTCTTACTTGTAAAGAACAGTTAGGTATTATGCAAGTTGTTCAGTATCATGGATCGCAAACGTGTCACTTGGTTTTAATTTGATATCGATAATTATTGCTGCCAATGAACAAGAGAGAAATAAATTAGAAACTCGATTTCGATCCCTGTTACTGAGTACTTCGAGAACTTGTCCCCCCCCCCCCGCCATTGTTTTACCCGCAACGAGAGGGAACCCATTCGAGTCCACTCGAGCATATTTCCTCCTCCTTGTTGCAAGTGCACTTGCACAATTTTTCATTCCAGATCATCTGGCGCGCTTTATCGCACTCTCTTGTATTCTTGCATTCGCACGCGCAGTTGTCTTCCGAATATATCTGGTGGACATTGCAGTCACTTTCCTTCACGCTGCATTGGCATCTAAAAAATAGCATACTCTTCAACAACGAATAAAAAGCTGTCAAAAATTAAATATTAGTTTCAATAATTTTATGCTTTATGCGGTAATAATTTTTCTAATTATAAATGCTTTTCTTCTTCTAATCTCTTTCGCAGCCCATAGAATTCTGTAATAATCTAATTACAGAAAAAATACAAATCTACTTTAATTTATTAAATTTTTGAAATAGAAATCTCTTATACATTATATTTATATACTAATCTGTGTTTCTAAATAAAATTAAAGTTCGAATCTGGGAATTACGGAATATTTTAAAAACAAACGATTGAAATATAAATTTTTAACTCACAGATAAATTTAATATCGCTAGTAGTTAAAAACCAATGATATCTAATTTTAACGACCTAGACTGGCCAATGTTTTTATTTAAAAAAATCATAAATTTTTATACGCGTTATACGATTATTATATCTATTATTATATTATATCACGTCCTTTTATCGATTATGAAATAATAAGCGTTTGACTGAAAGAGCGCGCGGTCAGAACGGAAGACTGTCTTACTTGCACTTGGTATGCTCTTCGAGCAACACGTGATAACACCCGCTCGAGTCATAGCCATCCATTCTCACGGCGATTTTTTTGGTATCTTTACGGACTGGCATGCACGACTTATTCCTCGGACAGAAGCCGCTGCATCTCTTCACCGAGGCGTAATTCGGGTAAAAGGTGTAACCCGGTTGCGGTATTAATTTGATCATAGTGTGCCTTGGCACGCACATTACCTCTTTCATCTGATGATTCAATTGCATACGTCTCCCTGCACATTCTAAAAGTACAAATAAAATATTTGCAAGAATTTATTTTGAAAGAATCTCAGCCATATCTGCATCCGATTATATGGAAAATTAACAATGAGATAACACCGCTCTTGTATGTGCTTCGATCATATCGCGCTACTTCAGTAAGCGGGTCAATGACGGTCAATCTATCCACGATAACGAGTGAGTTCTAAGAATTTGGTTAAAGATAAGCATAGCGATATTTCTATATATTAATTATTAATATATGAGGATTGCGTTACTTTATTTCAATTTTTATTTATATTTTATACACACTTTGCAAAGTATCTAGTAGATACAATAAAAAATTTTAGTTCTTGTGAAAAAACAATTAAGAGACATAAAATAGATTTGTATTACAAGATTGTAATAATTAGAACTTATAAATTATAAAATTTAGAGGAGATTGAAGATAGGCAAGATTTATCGCATCAAACTTGACCAGTTATAAATAGTTATAATAACGATTGTGTGAAATCGCGTAATATGAATAAGATAGATGTGTATTTTACACGCTTTGTTTACGATAAACAAATTTTCTCACAAAATGTAGCACAATGTATATTCTATAATTCCTAAAAATACAATTTCTAAAAGTATTGGTCATCCCAAAACTGTCAGTAAAAAAAAACGTAATTGCCATTGGTGGAAATAAATGTCAGAAATTTCTGTATAAAAATAAATTAGTAATAAGAGACATTAAAAAGAAATCTTCAAATTACCTATCGCCACTCCCTCGTGTGGACGTAATTCATCATCATACAGCATACCATTGGTGATGCAAACACATATAGTCATTAAAGCACACACTGTTGCAAGAAATTTCATGATTACCGTACGACACGTAGAACGTAAGTAGACTAGAATTGCTCGCAATGCTGCGTGTCGTTAGATAATGAGCATAAAATGAAATTTCTTCCTCGTTTATTTATAGCGGCCGGAAGATGCAGCGGTGACGTGCGGTTTTAAATCTCGGCCGCACACCGTCCACTTTGCGAGACATAGAAGGAAATTGCTGCGCGAATATTTCACGCCTGACGTGGATCTTTCCGCGAATGCGATGATAATACCTCATTTCTTACTGATTGCACGGCAATCTGAAATATGAATGCGTTTAGTGGGAACCAAGTTACATTTAGTTTGTCTTGTTATCAAATTCGACATCAATGTTGCGCGAGATTGAACAACACGAAGCTGAAAATACAACTTTTATATCCGCATGATAAAACGTATCTCTTGATTTTTCTCTTCTTGCTTCCTGCCAGACTATTTATATGTAAAAATGCAAAGATAACGTGTTCTAAAATTATCACGAAGTAAAACGTGAATGATTAATCAAAAGGAAATCGCGGAATGTCATTCTGTACTGCAAAGCGGTGAGATTCGGAGGATTTGTAAATAATATTTGATTTATTATTTAAACTATACATCATTATATTCCTTGGGCCACAATTCTTGATATACGTATAAAGTAAAAAAAAAGGTAAATGTTGAAATTAGAAGTGGAATGCACTATACTGTCAGCTAGAACGTTAAGATAGGTCCTTCCCGGTGATCCAGAATATCTGCAACAGAGATTATCACGGCTGAAGGAAAAATGAAAGGTGTCTCTGTCAGATTTGGATCGCCTGTATAAGAAATTTATTCCCCAGATTGTATCAACGTATTCTATTAATACAATTGAAAAACATTTTATATAATAGCCCAAAAGTGTTTCGATATTAAAAATGAAGATATTCGTACAATTTCATTTCCTCTTCATTCTAATTTTTAATATAAATTATCAATAATACAATTTGGTTTACCTTTGGCTATGCTCCACCACGGTAACGTAATGTACGTCAAAAAGGCGTTCAAAGGTACGGACTGCGCTCGCTTTGTCTCTTTCCAGAAATGGAAGGTTTGGGTAAACCCTCGCATCGTCCAGAGCGGATTGTACGCCCCGTCGTCCAACTCTGAAAGAAAAGAAATATTATTAATTACAATCCCCGAATGCTTGCAGCGTATCTGATGTCCTGCAACGATTCGATCGACAGGATGGTCGTATGCGTACAGGATAGACACTCAATCGAGCAATGAAACACAGAGTAAGAGAGTAAGTAAGCTTAAAGTCGTGGGATTAAATGCAACTTTGGTTAGATTGTTACGGGCCACAGTGAAGATGAACGAGTTCAAGTGACATAATGTATGTACAGATTATAAAAAAAAAATTATAGATGCGTAAGAGCAAAGTAAGGAATATCAGGATGCATCGATTTTTGCTTTTACTCTGAAAAACATATGACAAACTTCATCCAGTTTCTTAACGTGTTACGCATATGGAAATTGCGTTATGCAAATTACACACAGAGACAGGTCCGCATTCGCTGAAAATGAATCAGTTTCGCTTTAAGTGGAGTTAGCGCCTTAGACGTTCCCCCTTTTTTTCCCACGAATTCTCGCAGAGAGCGTGTATCGAAAGGTAGAATCAATGTTACGTTCACGAGACGAGCTAACCAACCAACTACCTACTTTTGGATGACCGTGCTTATAATCGGTGGTGAAATTCGTGATTCAAAATCATTCCGCGTATCCGACTGAAAGCCACTTTCCAGACAGACCGTCCCGCAAAAACCACCACCATCACTACCACTCTCTCCGTTGCATCCCGTTGCCATTTCACCATCCCATTAAACACAGTCATTGATGACACAGTCAAACAAATGCTTTGGGTTCAGACAGCGCACGTCTACTGTTACGCACAACGATTCAATATAGCAGAAATGATAATTAGTGGGTCGGTTTCGTCGAGGGCGAAGGGGGGAGGGGGGGGGGGACAGAGAGGGGTATCTCTTTAAGGGGGAGGGCGCAGGAAGGGTAGGAAAAATTTACCCTGTGAGCCGGGGCGGCGCGGGAGCTCGCACCAGTAGTAGATAGCGGTGCCGTCCGGCGTGACTCGATGTGGGGGCAGGGGGTTACCCGCAAAGCTGCCCGAGAGCGCCCTTCGACGTCGTCTTCGAGGCAACGTGGCGCTCTGCCGACGTAGCGACGTAGCGACCTCGCCGTTGACGCGCGTCACGTGGTGGGCGTTCGCGTTTTTGTCTCTGATCTCGTCGTTCTTGTTCTTGTTCTGCCCGTAGGCGTAGTCTTCGTGATCGGAACCGGCGCTACGCAGACGACGACGGCCGTCGCACCGTCTCACCCTGAGCAGCTCGTCGTCGCTGAGCCGCCGGCGCTCCTCGTCGTCGTTCTCTAGACCGTTATGATGATTCGACAGGTGCCCGGCGCTGTACGGACGTCGCTTCCGGTTATTGTCCTCCGTAGCGGTCGCCACGTCGTAGCCCAGCGGCAGTTCCTCCTTGCCGTGCACCAATATCGCGCCCGAGTCTAACTTCTGCCTGACGTTGTCGTCCGTCAGGCACCGGCCGGCCGGCACTAAGATCTCGCTGCCCACCTCTATGTGTTGGTGCTGGTGGTTCTGCTGATGATTGTTCTGCTGGTGATTGTGGAAACCTGCCGCGAGAACCACGTCGTCATTTAGACGGCGATTGCACCCGTGTCGCAACTACAAACGATCGTGCCCCCGGTCTCTTTTCGCGCTTTGTCCTCCGTGCGTTTATCTAAATTACTTTTTGTTTTCGTTCACGGTGCGAATTGAACATTTTTGATCGAGGCTTTGGCCTCGTATACTCCAACAAGATGAATATAGAATTTAGAAGAGCCTTTTCGTTCCTCGTTTATGACAACAGCGTACATTCTTGTCGAAGCTTATCTCGAGAAGCATGAAACACGATGGCACTCGGTAAATTCGGGAAGGAGCTAATGAACACAGAGTTTCTACTAGTCACACAAGAAGCGAGAGCGTCGGTTAGAGCAGAGACAGGAGAGACTGATCGGACTGATCGTTTTCAGCGCGAACGAGCACACTCACCGTGTGTCTCGCGATAGATCGTCTCCTTGCATATCGGCGAGTTCTCATTCGTTCCGGGTAGTTCCCGGGTATTACGTTGTCGTTGCTTGTGGACGGGGTGTTGTTGTTGTTGCCGAGCCGACGGCGATCTTCGTCGGCGGAACGAGCTAGGACTCCTGCGGTTTCCCGGTGAGCCCCGGCCGCCCCAGCTGCTATCCTGTACATCGGCTACAAAGGAAAGAGCCGGCATGGCACGTGCCAGTGATTAGAGACAAGAAACTCGTTCGTTTGTTCGTTCATTTAGTTTTCTGTCATCTTTTCGCAATCAGACGCGACAACATTTGAACCGGAAGTTAGAGTGTAATAATAGTTGTAGTGGTGGTGGTGATGGTGGTGGTTGTTGGTGGTGGTTGGTGGTGTCGGTACAATTCAGTTCAAAATCTGTTCTTTTCTCTTGTATTTCTATATCTCTCTCTCGCTATTTCGTCTACTCTTAACACTGTGCTAGTGCTACACTACTTTTGCCCGAAGGAACGCAAACTCTCAGCACCGTCCGATCTAGAGAGACAGTGCTCGAGAAACGAGATACCGTCTCGAAGATTTTCTTACTACGGTGCGTTAAGTCGAGCCGTTTAACTGGAGTAAAGAGATAAGTGTTGAGGACTGTCGCATTGGAGTGTGTAGAAAAATCTTTTCCAACGTGTACATGCGCTAGCTTCTATCTATCGCTCTAATGCAATTACGAATCGCATCTTTGAAAGTATTTAGATCGGCCTCAGGTCTATATAGAATCTGCCAGCATTGAGAACAAGTGTGTTGCCGAGAGGTGGAGGCGTCTGTATGCCTGATAACATCAAGACAATTGTGCATTACACAGACACAACACAGGAGCATGCACAGACCGAGAGTGGATGCGAACGAAATACATTGAGAAGAGAAAGATACTAAATGCCGTGTCCATATCCCATGTATTTAACGCTACGTTGTACCACGAACTCGACGCTGTATTTAACGCTAAATACAGGATATGAATGCCGGGTCTAAGAGTGTAAAATGAAAACTCTAGTAAGAGTAGCAAAGTCCGTCCTCGATCTCGCCCGTATCGCCGTCGCTGATAATTACCATCTCGAACGTCACCGGCCTCGATCTCGTTGAGGCCGTTCGCCATGGAGTCGAGACCCTCGTTCTCCGATCGCGCCTTAGTAGCCGCCGTGTCCGGTTTCGTTCTCCAGCCGCCGCGCACGAAGTTGTTGAGATTCGCGCTGGGATCGGACAGCCTTCGTTGATGGCGATACATGAAGAGCTCCTCGGCGTCGTCCCAGTCGGCGTCCCACAGGTCGGTCGCGCAATAACCCGGCTCCGACGTCGGCGTCTCCGCCCCGGAACCCTTCGGCTTCGTGACGGCCATCTCCGCGTGTCCCTTGCCTAAACGTATCACCCCGTGAAATTGAATCTCTGCCGCGTTCACGTCGAGCTCGTGTACTTTACGCCCTTGCCGTGCGCCGATAAATATAGAAATTGCTATTTTCCAGCTTTTACGCAAGCGATTACGTCATGTTAAATAATAAAGGTGAAACGCACTCTCGCGTTGACACCTACGTTTACACTTTACGCTTAACTTTTTGATTAATTTAACAATGAGCTCCGCTTACGTTCTATTTGTATCATTTGTGACTTGTTACGTGCAAAGTGGATTATTATTAACATTACGAAAACTAATCGATCGAAGGCAGTTAACCGAAAGATTGATAATATATTCTCGCACGTACCACGCGGTCCCTTCATCCGCACGAATTCTATTCTCTGCGAGGCCGCGCCGGAGAAGAGGCCGAATGTCATCCGCTGCGCCATTTTGGTGCTCAGGCTCGACTAAGAGGAAAAAAACCAATTGTAATTTCACGTACGTAAGTTCAACAATGTGCTACGTAGCGACTCACCCTGGCGTCGTAAACTTTCTTCAAAGCGTCGTAGCGGATCGAGCCGAGGAAAATGACACCCTGAATCGCGCCCTCCCGGTCGGAGGCGACCAGTTCCACGCACACCATCTCCCCGTCCCTGACTAAAATATCACAGAAAACTTCGTCGAAATTGTCCACCATGAAGCATATGTGCGGGTACGTCATCTCCTCGAGGTCACCCTTGGCATCCATGCGCCGTCGACTCGGACTGGCGTACACTTTCTGCGAATGCCTTCGCAATACCTAAAAAAAAAGAAGCAATTACTTCGCTGTCACGAGGTCCCGGTTGTCAGTTCTGTACAGCAGCAATAGATGTAAAATAAATGATAAAAAAATTACACGATGTTATAACGAAGACGACATTATCCCGGATCTTCGATAAGGAAAAATAAAAGGAAAGTGGGACTCCCCGCGTGTGGATTCCCTATGGTATTTTTTTTTAGACTCCTCTCCGATT